AAACTGCGTTTGTGTGTGTGTGTGTGTGTGTGTGTGTGTGTGTGTGCGCGCGCGGGGCGGCCCGGAGGACAGTAGGCATTCCTCCGCGAGGGGTGTGTGCACACAATGTAGGGCGAGACGGCGCGACTCATAAGCGCAACGAGCTTGCTCTTGTTGTTGGCGCTGTTGTTGCTGCTGCTGTTGTTGCTGTACAGGTGGTCGGGGCGGTAATTGTCACGTACAAACGTTGTAATTCCGCTCGGCTATGAGGTCATTTCTTAGCCCGGCGGCGCGGCGGGGCGGCAGACGTGCGGAACGTGTTCGGCGTGCATTCCAGTGCCGCCACGACGCGCGGCGGGGCGGCGGGGCGGGGCCTTTTGCGGGGGAGTGTACACAGTGTACATTCCAGCCTGCAGCCGGTCGGCGCCTGCCAAGTCACGGTTAGGCAACCCGCTCCGGCGAGCGCACGGGAGCGTGGCGGGACGGCCCCCCCTCCGGGCGCTCCGTGGCCCGACCAGCCCGGCGAGTGCCTGCCACGCCTGCCTCCACCACCACCAGTTTTCGACACAAAAAAAAACCGCTGGCACCTTAATGTTTCAGGAGGAGGATATTGTAATAAATGCTGATTCTTTTCTCCCTTCCTTCCTTCCTTGCCGGCGCGTGGCACCGACGCACTGCTACCCTTTTCAGCCGTGATGCGTCCAAGTTGTTTAGGAAAGTAATCTAGCAATTACAACTTTGCCGCTTCCCTTCACACCTGCCGCCCTTCCTATATATTTCTGGGCCCGCGGCCCGCAGAAATTAGCCGCTCACTTTCGCCAGGTGGGCTCCCCACCACGCCACGCCACGCCACGCCACGCCACGCCACGCCACGCAGGGCCCTTTTTCCAACTAACTCCCTGCGGACAAAAATGCGGACGACGGCGGACGGATTCCGTAAAAAGAGGAAAATAACCATGATGGATTGCCAAAGCGCGCGGTACTCTCTCTCTCAAAAAAAAAAAAAAAAAAAAGAGGTATTCAATGGCCTCGTGCTCGGCAGCCAGCCACTACTGCCATTCAACTTCCATGATGATATTATTCTTTTTCAATGAAGTAAATTTCTATCGCGGTAATGTGGGACACTTTTGACAAACGGCCGAAGCCAAAGTTTTGGACGGGAGGCTTTCTTTTTCCTCCAATTTTGTGGGAAGGCTTGCGAGACTCGCGAGCAGTGCAGGCGTCGGTGGTGCCACAGTGGCGTGGCGGCGGTGGGGTGGCCGAAGACCGAGGCGGCCGAAGCGACCGAAGCGACCGAAGCCAGGTCCTGGCACTGCCGAGCTCCTCCGCAGGCGACGTGTCGTGAGAGGCTGACGGGGCGGGTAGCGGCGCTTTAGCCTTCTTGACGTCCTGCCGCGCGGTGCGGTGTGGCAGGCACGGCACGGCACGGCACGGCAGGCACGGCACGGCGGTACTCCTCCAAATCCACCCCCCCAGCATTACTGGCTCAGCCGTCTATAGGTGGCGGTAATGTTTACACAATGCCTGTCGATACGGCAGTGGCGGCGGTGGAGTGTGAGAGAGAAGATAGGCGGAGCACGCCTCACTGGCCAATCCCATAGGGGGAGGGAGAGGGAGGGAGAGGGGGTCATTAAATCAGAGCGGCGTTGTTGATAATGTTCCTCTTTTGCATCGGCAGCACTACCAACACTGCGGTGTTCCGTCCTGACAGCGACTGACTGGCGGCTGGCCGCGCGCTTTTCCCAAAAGTCGTTTCTCTGTCTCTCTCGCACCCTTGCGGGACGCTCCGTGAGTGCGACTGAGACGCAGCGACTCCTCAGAATCAGTCCGCCGCGCGTCGCGGCGCCCCGACAGCGCCATGCGTCACGCAGAAGGCGAATTTGGGGGGGGCGGGAAAAAAGGGGGAAAAAAAGTGCGGGAAAGGGAAAGTGCCTCTCAAATGAGTTTGGTATTGGCCGCGATATGTTGTCGCGAGGAAGTCGTTAGCGACGGCGGCGTGCTGCTTGGATTGCTTTTTAAGTGACTCCGTCACGCGCCCCAGCCCGCCCCAGCCGGTCCAGGGCCCTCCAGGGGGCGGCGTGCGAAAAGGCATTATCGGCGAGTTTTTTGTGGTGCGGTTAATGAAGGAACCTCGAGCAAGCTGTGACTGTCGAGGAATTTCCAGAGAAACGCCACAGAAACAATCAATAACCGTATAGGAAAAAAAATAAAAATGATTGAAAAATGAAGTGAAATTGGGACAGACAGCGAGCCGACGCAATTGCCGCGGTTTTCGTTCGCCATAATTCATTTACCGGTTCGCCGTTGCCGCCTCCGGACTTAATGGTCCTCGCCGATTGGCCGCTTGAAAAATGAGCGAAACGGCAGCACGGCCAGGCGCAGCTCGCAAGTCGCTGCATTTTTACGCACAGCTCATTTAGCGAGCCGACTTTGCCCCTGGCTCTGCCCTGGCTTAGCCTGGTGGCGCCTCCAGACGGGCGGGAAGCCAGGCAGAGGCACCCTCCCCCTCCCCCTCCCCCTCCCCCTCCCCCTCCCCCGCCCCACACACCTGGCGTGTGATCATTCATGCGGAGTACGCGAGTGAGTGAGTGTCTATGAGTGTTCTCGGGGTATTTTTTTTCGGCGAGTGTCGGAGAGGAGGGGAGGGGGGGGGGCAAGATTTATGCGGAGTGGGCAGCGAGCACGGAGAAAAAGACCCTGCTCATTCATGCCGGGCTGGCCGGGGCCGCCCGATGGCCTGCCAGTGGGGGCGGTGGCGACGCGCGCTAAATCGGTACCAGCGGAACCAGGCAGGCGACATCGCGACAGCCGATGTGTTGGCGGCCGCGGCCTCGACGAGGGCCTCGTTGGGGAGCGAGAGATCGGACTCATCTCGCCGCCGCCGGCGCCGAGTGAGTGGCACTGCCAGGGCACTGCCAGGGCACTGCTGCCCGTCAGGGATTTTCATCAACGGCTAGAGTCCTTTTGCTTGGGACAGGTCGCAGGTTTTCCTCCTGCCTCGCTGCCTCGGGCGTCGTCGAGTGCTTTGCTTCCGTGGAAGGGCTCTCGCCGCCCCGTCCGGCTGCCCTGTCCGCCCTGCCCGCCCCGCCCGGCCTGCAGGACGCGCAGGACGCTGTGGGTCAGGAAACCTCGCAAGGACCTCGGCGGGCAGGGGCGGACTGCAAGGACGTAAGCCCCACGGCAAGGGGACGACGGCATGCCACCACTACCAAAAAAAAAGTTAACTAAAAAAGACAAATAAAAACTTACGATGGCCAGTCGTGAAGCAACGTGCGTGCCGCAAGAAACACAGCAATTCATTTATAGGCTATAAGCAATGGAAGGTCATGTCCGGAGACCAGGTCATGCGGCGCACAGCAGAGGACGGAACTTTGATAAGACATGTGCGGCCTGCCTCACGCCGAGTCCCGCCGCCGCATAAAAAGGACGCGCGACTGGCATTGACGCTGCAGGATGGATGTTGGTGGCGGGGCGGGGTGGGCACCTGCTGTGGACGTGGCGTGTCGCGCGCTGCCACGTGTGATGAATTGTGTGCCCCGCCGAGCCCCAGTGACGGGATGAGCGCTAATTGTTGCGCGAGTGGTAGTGTGCAGTAGTGTTGTAGTGTGTCGCCCTGGTTGCGACGTAGTCGACGTTCCACACGCACGCATCCGCACACAAACGGTGTGAGTGGCCGTGGTGCGGGTAGACACCCTTGTTAGTGCCCGCGGCTTACCGGCCCGCAGTTGACGCACCTCTTTATCCGTTTCCCGCTGCTTTTCTTTTTGTCGGGTTGCGTTTGAGGCTGGCCGTGGGCCTGCCGCCCGGAAGCCGCCGCTCTGCGAGTGGGTGCGAGCGAGGCGTGGCGCGGCGAGGCCATGAAGGCCCAGGAGCAGCAGGTGAGCCGGACGGGACGTCACGGTGACGGTTTGGATTTAGAGCTCTCAGCTGCACGCCGCGTCGGGCCTCGTCGGGCCGCGTCGCCAGGTGATGCCCGCGGCCGGGCGTGTGGGCGTGTGGGCGGCCAGGGCCGGCAGGGCGGTGTGGGCCGGCGCAACGGGCAGGGGCTGCAGCAGCCGGCCAAGGCCGCCAGCCAGCCTGCGCGCCGTGGCGGTGGACGCGCCCGTCGGACACGTCAGTGCGCCGGGTTGCCTGTCCTCCAGCCTGCGCGCCGTGGCGGTGGACGCGCCCGTCGGACACGTCAGAGCGCCGGGTTGCCTGCGCTCCAGGCGGCCCGCCGCGCTGGCTTGCTGAGCCTGGACCTCCGGGAAGGCGAGCAGCCTGGAGTCTGGAGGCTGGATGCCGCCGCAGAGAGACGACTTAGGGAAACTATGGCAAGACTGTTTGGCAAACAAATTCCACCACTATAATACGGCGGCGGCCCCGACGGCTGTCTCGTCCCCGGTCCCTTCGCCTCGTCCCCGGGCCGCGAGACCACGCCGACGACTAATCCTGCCGTTGTCTTACTGCCTTGTTTCGGCTCGCGCCGCGCCCCACCTCCTCGCCGGAAGTGCGATCCGGGGGATTAGGGCGCGTTAGTGGCGTTAGTGCATTGACGGGATTACGATGGGGTGCGAGTTGCGAGTGGGAGCGAGTGAGAGCGACGACACGCGGTGGTTGACAAGTGCGGGCGCGCCATGCAGAGACAAAGTCTTGGGGCAACATGTGCCCGGCCTCTACTCTCGCTCTCGACAAGAGGCCCCCGCCGCGCCCCGCCCTGCTCCGCCCACCCTCCATGGACCCAAGTTTTTTCGCCGGTTGCCATAGCGACGCGCGCATGCCAGCAGCCAAGGCAGCCAAGCCGTGGCGCAGCGCGGCGGTGCTGGCGGCGGCGGTGGCGGCGTCGCGCGCGCGGCGCGCTCGGCCCCGCGTTCGGCCCGGCTTCGGCCCCGCTCGGCAGCGTTCGGGAGCGCCGCTCGGCTCCTCTCGACGCTCGATGCGACCGAGCCGAGCCGAGCCGAGCCGAGGCGTGGGGAGGCGTCCCGACTCGACTCGGCTGCGAGCGGCGCTGCCTCGCCTCGGCCAGAGCTTGTCTGGCAGCGCTCGGCAGGACTCGTACTCGCGGTGGTAGCCAAGCAAGGGGTCGACGCGTGCGTTCGTGTGACGTGCTACGTGCTCCAGGTGCATCTCGACGTCCGCGGCGCGTCCGTCCGCGTCCGTCAGCGCACGCTTCGTACGTGCGGCGCACGTACCCCCGTCGCCGTGCTGGCCGACCAGGTCTTCCCCTCCGCCGGCTCCTCCTTCTTCGAGGGGAGCCCGACCCTGCCGCTCGCCACCACGGCGTCGCTACCGGTGAGTCCATGCGCCAGCGTCGCCAGCGTCGCCAGCCTCACAGCATCGCTGTAGGCGCCGCGGTGTGGCGGCTCGTCGCTGTCTCGCCGGATGCATTGTCATGCCTGTGAAGTCGCGACTCTGACACTGACACCGCGTGGCTGCTGGAAAGGCCACGCGGGGCCGCGAGGGTGTGTGAGTGTGTGAATCAGCACCCCTGTCTGTGGCTGGGGGGTGATGGTGATTCAAAGGCACCGACAACAATGCCGTGACTCAGACGCCGGCTACAGCCCGTTCGGCGTACGCTGCCCTCGGCGCCGTACACCGCGGCCTGCACCACGCCAGACACCGCGCCGTGCACCTGGCCGGAGAGGGGGTGGACAGCAGCGTCGGAGCGATACTTTGCGTGCTGCATTTTGGCGCTAAAGTCGCGGAAACACTATCCCGCCGGCTGGAGTGCCGGAGTGCTGGCCGGTTCAGTTACACGCGAGCCGAGCCGTGCCGAGCCGAGCCGAGCCGAGCCGGGCCGAGCGCAAGGAGGCGGGCAAGACGACGGCTCGGCTCTCGGCCACTGCGGATTTTCACTTTCGTCCGGGTTGAGCCCATGCGTCGGCCGAGCGACGCCCCGACAAGCCACGCCGTCTATAAATCAGATTGTCATGAGCCGGCTCGGCTCGGCTGGAGGGGGTTCGGGGGACGCGGCGCGACGCACGCAACGTCAACGGGCATATTGACATCTCGGCCGGGGCGGGGCGGGGCGGGGCGGGGTGTGGAGCGGCGCAGAGCGGTCGGGCAGGGCTTCGTGGGGACTCCTATTTTGCCCATTCCACCCTCCCCTTTCACCCCTGGTTTGCAGGGCACACACACACGCAGTGGTACACGCGTGCCTCCGCCCCCCGGCTTCCCTCCACGCACACACACACACAGACACACGCACGTGTGAGGCACGGCGGCCGATGGCCAATTGATTCAGCGCCATTTTATACACCATTCCGTGGCGGCTGGCGCGGCCTGCGCGGCCCGTGCTGCGCCTCACTGACGCGACCCCTTCCAGAACCGAAAAAACCCTTCTTAGCCTCTACGAGGGCCGTCGTCCACCGTCCGCCCGGCGCGCCTCCACTTTTAACGGACACGGCCAGTTGATTGGCCACTAATTGAACAACCGCGTGGGCTCCCCTTCGGGCCGCCTGCCCTTCCGTCTGTCTGTCTGTCTGTCTGTCTGTCTGTCTGTCTGCCCGTCTGTGAGTGTGGCCGTTCGGTGCGCTTTGACTTACACGCGTGCCACACTGCCAATTACGCGGCCACCGCCGAACTTGCGCCTCCCTTTCATAACCCAGTTAGGCCGGGGCACGCCGCCGCCATTCGCCGCAGCGGCCCTCGCTTTTTATTCACATTGAAATTGTCCGCCGCTCCGCCGCAGCATTCACATTCGCCATCATTTGGCGCGGCTGCAAACCGCGACATTTTATTCCATTCCCAGCCTTTTGTAGTTGGGCCCGTTTTATGTGGACGTCATATCTCAAAACACGATGCTTATTGCGGCCGGGAGCGCGATGGGGTGGGACGAGCCCCAAGAGGGAGAGGGGGTGGGGGGCGTCTCTACGCGCCCGTCTTTGTAATAGTCATCCAGCATGGGAACGGACGGGGAGGCGGAGGGGGCGGGGCGAGGCGGGGCACTTTGGCAAGACGGCGCTATTTAGGAAAACTGTCATTCCAAGTTTGGGAGGAAAGTTGTTGCTGCCGCTTTATTTGTTGTTATTTTTGCCAGTGTGGCGGGCGCGGTGGGCGCGGCGGGCGCGTGCCGCCTTGACCGCGGGGTCACGCCCGGGCCCCCCGGCCCGCTAATTACAGTGCAGGGGTCGGATTGGAAGCCGCCAAGCAGCGAAGGCGCGACCGGGGAAAGGGCCGCCGAAAGAAGGAGAAGTGCACAAAACACTTTCTTTGCGACACACTTACTTCCCGTAAATGAGTTAGCCAGGGGCCCAACTGCATGGCGCGGCGGGGCGCGGCGGGGCGGGGCGGGGCGGGGCGGGGCGGGCGGGGCTGCTCAGTCGTGCGGCACGCTTTGCCCCGCGCCGGTTTTCGGTGACCGAGTTGCCCCGCCGCGCCCCGCCACGCCCGCCCCGCCGCGCCCGCCCCGCCGCGCCCCGCCCGCCGCCCGCCGCCCCGCCCCGCCACGCCCCGCCACGCCCCGCCACGACGAGCGGTTCCCCGCACTGCTTGGCTGCACCTTGAGCCCGGCCGGCACGGCCGGCACGGCCAGCACGGCGCGCTGAGCATTTAGAAGGCTTCGGGCCGCACTGCTGGCGCTGCCGTCACTGCCGGCGCATCCGAGGAAAAAAAGGAGAGAAAGGAAAGAAAGAAAGGCGATCAGACGGTCATGAGAAAAGGCAGTCGTCGCGGCCAGCGAACAGCAGGAAGAAGGGACGTCGTGTAGCAGGCCTTCCGTCGGCCGTGCACCGCCACGGCCTCCACCGCCACGGCCGGCACGGCCGGCACACGGCCTCTGCCGCGTTAATGTCCCACTCCACGGCATTAGTATGACGGGCAGGGTGTCCACTGTACACATTAAGGGCCCTCATGTGGAGGGCGGCGTCGCGGCAACGACCCTGGGCCCGGCGGCCTGGCGGCCCGGCTGCCCGGCCTGGCGCTAGGGGCGGCACGGGACATGTGTCGAGAACGACGCCGCGTTAGGATGCAGGACGTACGCCCCTCCCCACCCCCTCCCCCCTCCCCTGTCGCTCCGAGCACTCGCCGCGCAGGTGTTTGAAACGTCGCGGTCCAGTGGTCCGGCGGCTGGCAGCCCGCGTCTTTGTTTGCTTTCGCCGAGACAGCAGACGGGCCGGGTTCCGGGTTCAAATACTGGCGGTAAGTACCTGTCCGTTTAGCCAGCGCCGTTTGTCTGTCTGTCCGTCTGTCAGACCACCCGGCGCTCCGTCTGCTCCGTGCTCTGCTAATTTGCGTTCCCGTCTCGCTTTATTTTTAATCACATTTCGCAACAGGCGAGGCCGGTCGCGGCGGTGGGGGAAAGGGCAAGTCGCGGGCCGGGGGTCGAAACTGGAGGAATTGGGGGCGGCGGGGGCGGCGGGGGCGGCGGGGGCGGCGGGACGGGCCGCGCGGGAGCGTTTGCCGAAAGCTGTCACCGCCGTCACCGCCATCACCACCATCTTCAGGGGTCGTTGGCGCCGGGTCAGTCGTTGCACTGAGTCAGTCTCGATCCGAAGCATCGTTTGGCCGCCGCTGTCTCTGTCTCTCTCGCACTCATCGGCGTGCCGCAGGAGTGCGAGAGAGACGCAGAGCGACGTATAATGATTCCATTAGGCGGCCGGTACGTGACCCTTTCCGATGTCATTGCAAGAAAAAAGTACCAGTGCAATTTTTTTTCCCTTTTTGTTTTTTGCGTTGCCTCCCCTGCTGCTTCCCGTCCGCGCGGCGGGGTGGCGGCCAGACAAAGGAATATAGGTTGGTTAGGCCGCGAGCCAAGTCACGGCTGGGAGGCGTTTAATAGGCGGCCGGGCTGGCGGGGGGCGGCTCGGGGGGCGGCGGGAACGTCTCGTCCAGGAATTTGCGAGCCAGCTACTGCTCTGGAAAACACACAGACGAACGGCTACGCTGGAAAAGCGTACCAACTACCGTTGCTGCATTCTTTTGGTTCATTGGGGGAAACTACTGGAGCGCCGCCGCGGCCGCCACCCGTGTTGGTATAGGAAGCTGCTGTATCGGCTGGAGGAAGCGCGGCGGGGAGAGAGGGAGGGGAGGGGAGGCCGATATCGGCGCCTGACAGCCGTCGGAAGGTGAGACGCGGAGTGCCCACGGTGGGCATGGAGCGGCACGGAGCGCGCGGCGGGCAGAGGGTTGGCGTCGACCTACTCACGGCCTCGCTCTGCGCGTTCTGCGCGTTCTGCGCCGTCGGAACGAAGAGCACGGTTTTGTTTCCGATAAGGCCGCCAGGGCGCGCCGCTCGCCACTCACCACCGAGAACTCCTTTTTCCTCCTCGAGGCGCCGGACGAGCGGGCATGGCTCAAATCGACAGTAAAGTTTTAAGTGTGCGCCAGGGGGCCCAGCCAGCCCCTCTCTCCCTCTCGCTGTTAATGCCTCGCCCCTGCATTGTGGGGGGTCCTTTTCATCCCGCAGGGTTGGCGGTTCTTTTAGTTGGAGGCGTGGCGATGGCCTGGGCCCGGCCCCGGCCCTGGGCACGACTCCAGCAGAGCGCTGCCGGCGGTGCTGCGGCGGTCACCCCCCAGAAATGGGGGCACACAGTGGGTCAGAAGAACGGTGGAGGCGGCCAAAACTCCAGACGCGTTTTGAGCTCCAGAGTCACTAGACAGGACTCGAACCAAACGTGTGACCCCACCAATGGATTCCTCCTTCGAAGAGCAATCCATTGATGGGGTCACACGTTCGGTTCGAGACCCATTTAGCGACTCTGGGGCTCAAAACGCGTCAAGAGTTTTGGCCGCCTCCACCGGTCTTCTGGCCCACTGTGGGGCAGCAGTCGGGGCCGCCAGAGCCGCGCGCCCCGGACGGCTCCAGAGCACCAGCGAGGGCTCCAGCGAGGAGCCTGCAGCAGCCTCCAGCATGCCGGCCTCCAGTAGTGTAGACGCTCCAGCCCGGGGAGATTGCAGCGGCAGGCCGAGCAGGACTCCAGGGCGGAACAACTTGGGCAACAACTGCCAAATTTCCGCAAATTTCCCTGTGCAGAGCGCACCCTTGCAAAAAAGCTGTTTGACTTGTCACTCGCTCGGAAAGCTTTCTAAAGATTTAGATCCTTGTTTTTCTGTAAGTTACTTTATGATTGAAATGATTTGAAAAGTTTCGGCTCTGACTTTTCAACAGCAGCAAAATGCGCGAACGTTGCTGATTTCCTTGATTTTATTTCCCAAACGTTTTTTCGGTACACGCACTTGACTTTAAAGTTGATTCCCCCTCGGCCGGCTCCAGCACCGCAGCACCGGCAGACCGGCAGCAGAAGCCTGCTTGAGAAAATGCAGAGCGAGCGCCCCGAAATGGGGAGTCGGCC